ATAAATATTTATATTTTGCTTGTAGCTGAATTAAATATCCCTTTTAAGGATGCAAGTGTGAGATTAATACCAAGTGAGCGATGCAGGCCCATTGGGCCTCTTGTTTTCATTGGTAAGGATTCGTTTTTTCAACAATTATGCAATATTTTGATAACATTATACTCATATGAGGCGTGAATTATGTGTTATCTTAAAGATAAGCACTTTTGATTTTGCTCCATTTGATGGCATCGGACCGCTTCGTAGCTCTGACGATGCAATATATAAAAAAAATCTCTCGTCGTCAGACAGCTACGTTTTCGCAGCTACAAATCGGAATCGTTCAAGTTTGGAAATCTACATATGGATGTATATTGGGTAATACACACAAAAAGAACCCCCTACTCTCGGCAAGGCTTTCTTTATCATACTTTAATGTATTTTTATTTTGCTAAATATTTCTTAATGCTAATTGTCGATTCGATAAACGTGCTTCAAGATTTCAGCCAGAAGGTGGCGTTCGGCTCTCCAACCTGATTAATCATAAACATAGCTATACATAAATAGCACATCAATAAACTTTTGTATATAATGAACCTATTTCTCAAACGTCCCCTTAGTAACTAGTGTAAACGGAAACTACGCCATAGGGTGACCATGTGTTTAATCCTTTACATGTACTATACAGTACCGGGTGGTTCGTGCAGGCGGCTATACACGAAGTGTAGACGGGCTTCGATTTTCCGTATCTACACTTATTGTGTTTGGCTAGAGGACCAGAACAGCCGTATATATCGTGTCAGTACTCGATGCCGTTGCCATTGTTTTGTTTACCCGTTGGAACACCACATCCATTCATATATAATAAGTGTACCGTTGTCGGCCTTCACTACGTATACGTATCACACAGACCGTGACATTATACCTATATAACGGTGTATAGAATACGGTGTATTGAACGATATTCTGACACTCGGGTAGCTGTTATAATTCAGTTTTGAACTGAACATTGTATGGGATACTGTCTGGTCCTGGAGTTGACTACATATATACCTATATACAGCTAATTGGATTTATTTTGACAAAACCAGTATATGTGTGTATATGTGTACTTTTTGCTTCAGTCTGACTTTAGCTTGACTTGTGCACTGAGTACAACACTGTCCTGTCAATATGGAAGTTTGGCAAAGGTTTAAGACTTTCTGTGGATATTGGCATTTCCAATGGGAGATTATAAGTGCAATGTACCTCATGGAACCGGCGGAGAAAATGGTTTTTCGTATCCTTTTTAAAACCACTTTGGTTTGCGTTATCGTTAAAACTCCATTTATTGTTGTGTTTATATTCTATGTTAGCTTGACTGCAAGTTAACATCTGGTAATTTACATCTATCCTAATCTGAAATAAAGGACTTACCTTATATACCCCACAGGGACCTGTTAATGTGTTACAGCTATATTTGGACCTAAACTAAGCATGTTTTAGGGGTGTAGATCGGCTTTCGGTAAAAACGACACCCCCAATGATTATATGTCCAGCATTTTTACCGAAAGTCGATCTAAACCCCTAAAACATGTAAAATTACTCTGAACACCTCAGTTTAGGTCCTAAAATAGCTGTAACAAATTATCAGGTCCCTGTGATATAACCTGGTACATAGTGGTTCAATATGAAACCCGGAGATGACAAGAAACATAAATAAACATCTAGATTTTAAATTATTTTGAAATCTTCGATCAGGCAGATATAACTTTAAGCTAACAATGCCTTGAGCACCCGTGGTATTTCAGGTCACGCATTGTTAACATAACCAGTTGATAAAACAGGTCCAGAGAGGTGTTTTGTATTCAGAGGTGAGCTTGGATTTCCCCCTTAAAATGAAGTATGTTACCGTGTTCATAAAAATGACCGACTTGTTAAAATTAATGAAGAGTTTCACGAAACAGCCAAATCCCAGTAACTCGGTGCATCATAATCATTCAGTGATTACTAATTATATTTATAACCGAGTTAACAGGGTAACTGTGACGTCACCCACCTTGGTATCGATTTTTGCCCTGTAGATCGATAAAGGTGCGTGTATGAAGACAGTCCATATACAAATTGGTCGATCCTTGCAATATACACGACATATTAGAGAAATTTGAGTTTAATACGGATATACTCTAACTCTAACAATACCATATAGAGGAAACAGCTGTCAGTCATATCTCTAATACACTTTTAAATAACGTTTATTCACTGCCGTTGTCCTGATACTTACTGAGACCAAATACATATTCCGTTGACCTCTGTTGTCCTCCATTCGTCCTGTCGTCTCCGGATTTTACACATTCCGTACATTCGAATCATGATCGACCATTTTAAATGCACATGCAATGTAGTGAATCTGTGACATTTATCTTAATACATGTATAAATATATTATAAAGTTATTTACCTTACATCTTTTACTGCAATTTGCGTCGATGCAAGTGTCTAAAACTGATGAAGAACACATTTTTTTGACATTGAATATTGAATGTTATCCTTGACCCCCAATAAGATGCCATTTTATTTGCAGTACTGGCGTTGTTTTTGTACTCTGCCGTTACCTACTGGCCTCCGTACCTAATGATGCTATTTGACGCCATATCGGAGCTCAAGACAGGGACACTATCTGTAGAAGATGACGTGTGACGTCACGCCTCTGACGTCACCATGGTCCTTTGACAAGGCTTAAGTCTCAAACAGATGTCTAGTGCAGGGAACTATCTGTGGCCCATAAAAGTATTTTCCGGGCGTGGGTTTGGGGTCAGCGTACCGACCTTCCCTTTTCCAGATCATTGTGAAACCAAAAATTATATACACATTTCCACATCTAGCGATGTCACGATATCACTAGTATTTTATAATCTGCGTTAGTTCGAGCCTACTTTACCATACTCACCGTAGAAATCTAAGCACATACTCAGATTTAGAAAGACTAGGGACCAGTGATACAAGAGTCTACTGGAATGTTTTAAAAAGACCAACTTTCTCATCACGAAGTACTGTGATACGGACTGAGCCCTTCCCCACGGAGCGGACAGTCCTCGTCTGACGTAGATGTTAAGGGCTATTCACTTATCAAGGGCTAAATCTGACAAATTTGATATAGAGTGATATTTGATATTTATTTTTTAACTGTCCATGTAGGAATTTGTCTGATGACATTTTGAGTACAAAGGTAATTCGTTCAGTGTAGTTTTTTGCGATCATTTGAATTCCTGAATACACCACTAGCACACAGTACAATGTCACAGTGTGAACTAAACACGGATTAATCTTGTTTAATGAACTCGGCGAGAATCGAAAGATCTTGCGTGAAATACTAATGTCGTCACAGATGTGGTTGTGATTTGCCCCCTATGAAGTTTGATGTGTTAATACATTAATAACTAAAGTCATAACGTATAACTTCTTATTTTTTATGGATTTTAATACGCCACAAATTCTTGCTTGCACACCAATATAACCAGTGTTTAAAACGTTTATTTAGCTACCAAGTTGCACTGCTGGACTACAAGTTTGGGCGTGTGGCCTGTGTCAATATTTACCATTGCCGCTATATTTTGCTATGGATTATCGTGAAACTCTGTTTACATGTTTACGTTGCAAATATCTCGCCCGAGTTCGATACTGATCACGTTGTATTATCAAACATCCTTGATATTGCAATTATTTCAACTAACATTGATCGAAATATCGGGAAAAAGTATATTGGGTGAGTGTACGTGGTGCTCGTTTTATTAAATCTAAAATATAGTTATGAGTGTTATTGTCTTTATTAAAGGTTGTCTTCTCTAGAAAGCTTATCGTATATTCCATTTCAACCGAATGTTCAAAACACAAACTTTTATAGGTATACTTCATAACAACAGAGTATCTCGTTACCCTTTGGTACAGCTACACCGACGTATTCCGTCTTTGCGTATTGCAGAGTTATCTTCTCTTGGGAGGAGGTAATGATTGTTACGTCACTTGTTTTTGAGAGTAACGTCATCACTTTTTGAGAAAACGACGTCCTTTTCTCACACAAACCAATGACGTAACAATCGATGCCTGCTCCCAAGAGAAGATAACTCTGCAATACGCAAAGACGGAATGGCCCTTGCTTGAACGTCTTAACACACACAAATGTAAGAACTGGTATCAATACAGCGTAAATGGTAATGTAGCTTTGCTACGAACATGTTATTGATTTTATGGCGTATTTGAATTACTACTTGACTGACACACTAAAAGTTGAATGCGTGAATGAATGAATGAATGTATGAATGAATAAATGAATATGAATACGAAAATGATTGTAAAGGAATACTATTGCATGACGTCACCTAACTGTACAGTTAATTGTAAGAAGTAGGACCCCGTCCTGGTACTCCTCATTGTGATATGTAAAGGACAATAAATATCCTCAAAACTATTTCGTCTACGTGTTATTTGAATATTATGTTTGCCTCGCAAATACTTAAGGTACATGTGTCATCTGTGTGTTCTGACTGATAATTGTCAAGTTTCTCTATTGACCAGGATGGCTGTGGGGTTTGACTGACGTTTGTAAAGTTTTATAAACCAAAGTCGAAGGCTTTGGAATTTGTCTGAGGTTTGTGAAGTCTCTGTATTGGCCTGGGTGGTTGTAGGAGTTTTGGCTGAATTTTGTGAAGTCTCTGAATTTGTCTGAGTGGTTGTAGAGGTTTTGAGTGTTGTGAAGTCTCTGTATTGGCCTGGGTGATTGTAGGTGTTTTGTTTGAGTTTTGTGAAGTCTCTGTATTGGCCTGGGTGGTTGTAAGGGTTTTGGCTGAGTTTTGTGAAGTCTCTGTATTGGCCTGGGTGGTTGTAGGAGTTTTGGTTGAGTTTTGTGAAGTCTCTGTATTAGCCTGGGTGGTTGTAAGAGTTTTGTTTGAGTTTTGTGAAGCCTCTGTATTGGCCTGGGTGGTTGTAGGAGTTTTGGTTGAGTTTTGTGAAGTCTCTGTATTAGCCTGGGTGGTTGTAAGAGTTTTATTTGAGTGTTGTGAAGTCTCTGTATTGGCCTGGGGGATTGTAGGGGTTTTGTTTGAGTTTTGTGAAGTCTCTGTATTGACCTGGATGATTTTTGGAGTTTTGTGAAGTCTCTGTATTGACCTGGGTGGTTGCAGACGTTTTGGCTGAGTTTTGTGGAGTCTCTGTATTGACCTGGGTGGTTGTAAGGGTTTTATTTGAGGGTTGTGAAGTCTCTGTATTAGCCTGGGTGGTTGTAAGAGTTTTGTTTGAGTTTTGTGAAGCCTCTGTATTGGCCTGGGTGGTTGTAGGAGATTTGGCTGAGTTTTTTGAAGTCTCTGTATTGGCCTGGGTGGTTGTAGGAGTTTCGGTTGAGTTTCGTGAAGTCTCTGTATTGGCCTGGGTGGTTGTAGGAGATTTGGCTGAGTTTTTTGAAGTCTCTGTATTGACCTGGGTGGTTGTAGGAGTTTTGGCTGAGTTTTGCGAAGTCTCTGTATTGGCCTGGGTGGTTGTAAGGGTTTTGGCTGAGTTTTGTGAAGTCTCTGTATTGACCTGGATGATTTTTGGAGTTTTGTGAAGTCTCTGTATTGACCTGGGTGGTTGCAGACGTTTTGGCTGAGTTTTGTGGAGTCTCTGTATTGACCTGAGTGGTTGTAAGAGTTTTATTTGAGGGTTGTGAAGTCTCTGTATTGGCCTGGGTGGTTGTAGGAGTTTCGGTTGAGTTTTGTGAAGTCTCTGTATTAGCCTGGGTGGTTGTAAGAGTTTTGTTTGAGTTTTGTGAAGCCTCTGTATTGGCCTGGGTGGTTGTAGGAGTTTTGGCTGAGTTTTTTGAAGTCTCTGTATTGACCTGGATGGTTGTAGGAGTTTTGTTTGAGTTTTGTGAAGTCTCTGTATTGGCCTGGGTGATTGCAGGAGTTTTGCCTGAGTTTTGTGAAGTCTCTGAATTTGTCTGATTGAGTTTGAAGTCTCCCTATTTCCCCTTATTGGTTGTTAGTTTTGAATGAAGTTTGTGCATTATCTTTATTTGCTTCGATGGCTGTCATGGTTGTAGTTGGTTACTCATGCTTCCGTATTTGTCTGAGGTTTGTGAAGTCTCTGTATTGACCTGGGTGATTGTAGGTTTGGCTGAGGTTTATGAAGTTTCTCGTTGACCTGGGGGATTAAAAGTTTTGACTGAGGTTAATGAAGTTTCTCGTTGACCTGGGTGAATGTAGGTTTGGCTGAGGTTAATTAAGTTTCTTGTTGACCTAGGTGGGTGTAACTTTTAGTTTAGACGGAGTATTGTGAAGTTTCTCGTTGACCTGGGTGATTAAAAGTTTTGACTGAGGTTAATGAAGTTTATTGTTGACCGTGGTGGTTGTAAGTTTTGACTAAGGTTTGTAAAATTTCCGTTGAACTGGGTGATTGTAGGTTTGGCTGAGGTTTATGAAGTTTCTCGTTGACCTGGGTGGTTGTAAGTTTTGACTAAGGTTTCTAAAATTTCCGTTGACCTGGGTGAATGTAGGTTTGGCTGAAGTTAATTAAGTTTCTTGTTGACCTAGGTGGGTGTAACTTTTAGTTTAGCCGGAGTATTGTGAAGTTTCTCGTTGACCTGGGTGGCTGTAAGATTTGACCAGGTTTGTGAAGTTTCATTATTGATCTATGCTGTTGTTAACTTGAGTAATAATTGTACAATGTCTCTATTGATTGGTTGTCCATAGAGTTTGACTGAGTATTGTGAAGATAACATGGGTAGCGGTAGGTTTACATGAGTTTTGTGAATTGTCAGTATAGACCCTAGATGGCTGTTAAATGACTTAAACATGTCGTATATGTGCGACATGATAATTCTGCTCCACATTAAATGAATTAGAATTGCAGAAAAAAATCACATCAGAAATCGAAATGGCCAAGCGGTGCAGTAAAGTGGTCGGGTCGCTGGGTGGCGCAGTTGATAGCGCGCCCGCCTTTCACCAAGAAAGCCGGGACTCGATTCCCAAATAGGACGTGAAAAGGTATTGGGTCACCGGGTCCATCACGTGGGTTTTCTTCGGGTACTCTTGTTTCCTCCCATGTGCGTTTTCATCCGGACTAAAAAGAGATTCTTATAAGATGATATAACTTATTTCAATTGTTATATATTTGTTTAAACTGGGTTGTTTTGACATTCCGCAGTTGCTTCATCATTTCTAAAATCTAGTGATTATTCTAGAGAAGAACGCGCATTAATTGCCTCTATAAAATTAAACCGATTCTTTATAAAGATAGGAGTGAATGAAGATTCGAGTAAACGTAGTCCAAATCTTCAGAGTACACGAATATTGGAATTCACCACAGCCAAACGTCTTGTCTTGGGCCAATCGTTTTGTTTAGGGAGTGTTATTAGAGGTTTTATGAGTTTTGATCAGTTCTCGGTTAAAACGCCATACCCAATGCTCTTGAGTTCTAAAACTGACCCATCGAACTTTCTTGTTACGAAATATGTTTCCGATGGGTGTATAAAAATGCTTGGCATCGTTGGAAAGATTGCATTTTTTAACATCACCGTAAAAATACACATCTTCTTAAGCAGGTATGATCTTGTTTTCAACACCGATGATAAATGTTTTGGATAAGAAAAAAATCTTAATTACTCCCCTCCCTGTAAACGAATGGTTCTGGAGTGAAAGTTGTAAATATTAAGTGACAGAAAAATCAGGAAATTACAACTCATCTCTATTCATACGTGGAACGTAGATTGCTACATATATACATCACTTTCTCTTTCCTCACTGTTGTCAACAGATACTCAACATGTTCGTTACAGATTTGGTTTATTAACCAGTTTTCCACACTTGTGCATGAGAGGATCTGTCAACGAGGATGAGTAGATGTTATTGTAGTGTGGTGATCCCGACGATCCTGGTTCTGTTGGAGTCAAGGAAGAGGACATGAGGTAACTTCCAATAGGGGACGACGTCGAAAACGGCAGATACGATCCGGGTCGTCTGAGACTGTCTTGGTTGTCACGTGAACGAGTTTGAGGGGAGGCTTTGCTTTTTGTTGGCGATGATGTATCGTCCAATGAGTTTCCAACAACCCCTTTGAATGGCGGCCATAATTTGGACAGCCCCCAGACACAACACGAGCCAAGGAGGGCTGTACCCAGGACAGCACTGAGCACGCTAGCTAGGATGATCCAAGGCTGTTGCGGCACCACACTATCCACGGTGATTTTCAAATTCTGAAAAACAACATGGAAACAATACATATCGTGTGTGCTAAAACATACTATGAGCAATTGAAAAAATTGACACATATCGACTGATCACGCGTCATTTTATCCGCAAAATAGTTTATTAACGCAATAATTAATGCTAGCCACCGACCGGATGGTTTAGTTTAAAATCATTTCTATCAAGTTCACCACTGTCATTGACTTTTTAAAATCAAAACAACGTCATTGTTTTGATAAAATGTACTTTCAAATGCATCTGTTGAGAAATACTGTTGAAGTATGATCGAGAAAGATATATTAAGGAGAATCAAAAGATTTAAGGTTAGACCTAGTGTTTCTCTAGTGTGTATTTTGCCTATATATTTTTTAGTTAGACGATAGTTGATGTCAGCGAGTGTCACTGTGTTCTACTGGTGTACCTGTGTAGGGTCACTCTTCTTCTTGACTGATTCTGAAATGTTGAAAGCACATACTCAACACTGACTAAATGAGGTATTAATTAAGCAACCAAGCTATTAAAACATCGGAATTACGTATACTCGAAATGGTTTAATTATGGTAAATTATTCTGTTGCCAAATAGTACACTCATTGAACAGTGAGACAAAATAACACGTTGCTTGAGTCATGAATGTCGAATATCGTACGATTTTGAAAGTCAGTATTCGATTTTTTACATAACTCTTTTTTATGTACTGATGATGATACATAATCATACGTTGGAGACACGTGACGCCTGTGGTCTGTATCGGACACGTGCACGTGAACGTGCCGTGTTGACTGTGACAGGTTCCCCCGTTCAGGCAGGGAAAAGACAGACACATGTTGCTCTCCTTTTGACATCGATCTCCGAAAAACCCTTGAGAATGTAAAAAGCAAAGTTTAGAAATGTTCGTATGTTCCATTGTTATTAAGAAGGCCTTTACAGTTAAAGATACATGTATTTATCTTATTTAGTTCCTGTATTTCATTCCTTTTAGTTTTAATTTGTTTCCGAGGCTTAATTAACGAGTTTCCGAATTTATCAGAGAGTGATGAACAAGTTTTCGGACTATCGGATTTGAAACGTTTAAAATAAAGAGTTTTGAATTAAACATGATTCTTTCTGATCAGAGTCGGATTAACGAGTTTCATGTTTATTTTGGTCTGTGCCACGAGTTGCTGGATTATTACAGTTTCTGGACTAGCTGCGACGGTTAACGGGTTTCTGAATAATGGGGTCTAATTAACTATTTTCTAGATATGTGTGTCTGTTTCTGGATCATTGGAATCTTATTAACAAATTTCTGGATTATCGGGATCTTGTATTTACGAGTTTTCAGATAATCAAAGAATGATTTATAAGTTGCCGGATTTAAGAGGTCTTATAAATGAATCTCCGGATTATCGGAGTGACGCGTTTCTATTGTACGATATATAGAATTTCCACCAAAACCTACCCGGAAGACAAGTACAGGTGACCGATGAGGTGGTATCCACACAGGTGGCGTTATTTAGGCACGGTTGATCACTGCACGTGATGTCTGCAAGATAACATTTATTCTGTTTCAAAATTAATTAAAACTCGTTTCAAATAAGGGGTCGATATTAAAAACACCTTCCCGTGCCCCCTATTTTTTTAGTTGTTTTACATACTAGATGTGACGGGTATAACACACAAGGATTCGTTTAAACAGGTCTTAGCCCTAAAATCCAGGGGCTCAAATAACAGTGGTATGGGTACCTATCCCAGATATATTGACTGGCATAATCTTTAATATCTACATGTGTATTTAATGTCACCATTAATCTTGATGTAGACCTGTCGTTCCAATTATGCATACTATCAGTATTTGTATTGTCCCAGTAGGTGTCAATATATGGAATCGTGATAATGAAACATATTCTCGTAAAAGTAATTAATTTTCTTTATTATTGGAGTGAGGTGAGTTGTATACTGCATTTTGGCACTCATTCAAATTATGTAACTCTTAAAGTTACCTGTGTAACGTTTTATCATTATTATTTCCATTCGCTCTGCATTGCCACTATATTACCTTACCAAACAAAATAGAAATATATCAGATCATAATTCTCACATAATTGCCATTGGTGTAGTGATATGAAGAACATATTCGTGACGTCGTGACTAAATGACGTCGTTTTGGCCGACATCACTATATTAAGTGTATTATTGACGTCACGAAAACAAGGGAACAATACGCATTCCTCGTGGTAACACATCCGTGCTACCGGATTAAAAAACCCAATTGATGAATGTAACTCGCAACAATTTATGTAGCTATGATGTATAAAAGTTGAATATCCTCACGGTGGAATATATTGATTAAATTGTTGAAATTAAATTGATCATTTTGTGTTTATTTCCACGAACTATATTTTTTGCCGGGAACGGTCGCGTGTACTCGTGACGTCATCAGAACAGGTCCAATTGACAGACAGCGCGAAATTTGACTTTGAAATGCGAAAACAGGTTAGAAATATAAGAAAAACTTAAATTAAAAACGGAAATATCAAAAACAGAAATATAAGTATTAAATTGCCTTCTTTTGAAAGTTAATGTCCTATAATTCTCACAGGATTATAGGACAATAACTTTCCAAAGAAGGCAGTTTAATGCTTAAATAGCGTCCTCGATACAGAATAGCATTGTGTTTTACTCCTTGAACAGAGGGGAGGCATTAATCCAGCAGGACAGTCACAAATGAATCTATGGAACAGGTTGACGCATGTTCCTCCACCCTGGCAAGGCGAAGAGCGACACTCGTCTGTATCTGTAGTGAAATAATCGGGTACGCTTTACTAATGACTCGTCAGTAGTGAAGTACATGTTATATGTCGAGACTCCTATAGCCCGTCAACCGTCAGATTTTGTAATATACTTCATGGTTTTGACATGATAGATACTTGGCTTTCCTTAGAACTTTAATGTTCAATTGTCTGTTAATATAGACTGGCACAACGATCAACACAAATGATAAGGGGGTCCCTGATTTATCACAATTTATGGTTCTACATTTTCTTTAGTTTCTTCCCCGTTTCACGAAACTTTTTGATATAGAGATATATAATTATAAATGCAAACGTAACAAACGGTTAACCAATTTCAGTTATGTACAAATTATAACATTTGCTACCCATACCTGATATTAAGGCATCCACACACCGCTGTGACGTTGTCGTCCTAGAAAATAAATTACGAGTATAATTACTTAACAAGATTCCAACTGAATACCCAGTATATATATGTCGAAACAAATGCTACTTTGATGCATTTGATATATCTAAATTAAATCATGTCCTACAAATCATCTATTACAATAAATAGTCCTGTGTTACTCTGATACCATACACCAACTATCTTTCCTTCAGTTCTGTACAAGTTACTGTTTACATTAAAAACTAATAATGCCCAAATTTGGTCCAAGCCCCAAACAAGCCTGTCTTCCCCACTATCTACTGAAAATTGTCGCCGTTTTTAATATTCATGAACAGATAAAACAGATGAATCCCTTACAATATCCAAATTGGTCTTTTACCAAAAATTTCCCTGAAACCTTCCAGTTTTATTGTGGTTTCCCACAGAATATCCTCAAGCTTGTCTTTTAGTTAATCTTACAGCCTATCCAAAACTTATCTGAGCGCCATTTTTCTCCGAAAACCTATTGATATACCCTTGCTTGACTGTTTCTCTACAGCCTTCTCTAAACTGGTAACATATCACTTCTCTTTCAACTTAACAACATCTTATCGTCGATCCATTGTGCCCTAAAATCTTACAAAAACAACATCCTGGCTCTCGTTCTATGTCCCCTTAAAACCTACCAAAATTGATCCTTTAAACCTTTGTCCTCTCGCTACCCACCCAAACTGGTCCATGCCCCATATGCAGGCCAAGTTGTCTCCCATTTGACGCCTCTCCGGTAACCATGTAAGGTACAGTCGTGTAACATTCTGTCGCTTCTGATCGTCTGCTAGTCTCTGCGACACTATTCCAGCTGGTAGACTTGACAGGAAATTTGTTCCACTAAATCAGCACGATATTAAAAACGTTATCTTCAGCTAGTGAACAGTTTTTCCTGTCTGAAAATATTGGCTGAATGGAGTTCAAAGTAAGGTTTGGTACTTCATCTTATATCTTACTAATAAATAATGTATTATCAACCATATTATGTTAGGGGGAAAAAGGAAAGGAAAAAAGTTATGAACCCCAAACCGCATATAAATAGTTTTGCGAGAAGCTAAATTGTAGGGGCTAATTAAAGGCCCTTTTACATATGAAAGACTTAACATGTTAATAAAAATCTATGCAAACATTAATAACATGATAATTATATATATATATATATATATATATAAGTGGATTAGGAGGAATACAAACCCGAGTGTAGGCACCGTTAGGTAGGCGGCGAACAGGAATGGCTGTGGGAACATGGAGTACGAGGCATGCAGCTCGTCTGGCAGGGTCGGGGCTGCAAACTGCACGTTACTTACACAGCTGGTAGCCTTAGTAATAGTTATTGTTAACTGAAATTACACAAAATTACATGTTATTTTGCTGTGAAAACAAAACAATATTTTGTATAAAATACCGTCAATTTCCCCTTGGTATCTTTATAAAATCGAAGAAATTGATATCCTTTATTCGCGATATGGTTTCTTCTGGTATAAAAGTCATAGTTATTGACTACAGTTTGGATTTTTTATTTTTACTCTTGCTTAATTAAAAAAAATAATGATTGGAGTGTTCAATGACATCTTTGCAGTATTTATAGCGTCAACATACAAAATCGAAATCGAGAGCCAGCCCCAATAAGAACAGAAAACAACAGGAACGATGAGACACCAAAAGAAAAGGGAAAACCTGAATTCCAACAACAAATAAGGCAATAAACAAACAACATGTCAATAGATTACCGTCATTTTGTGATACATTTGAGGTAACACTAGAGGTTACACTAGAGGTAAAACTAGAGTAAACACTAAGGGTAACACTGCAGGTTACACTTGAGGTAACATTAGAGGTAACACTTGAGGTAACACTAGAGGTAACCCTGGAGGTAACACTAGAGGTAACACTAGATGTTACACTAGAGGTTACACTATATGTTACACTAGAGGTTACACTAGAGGTAAGACTTGAGGTAACACTAGATGTAACACTAGAGGTAACACTTGAGGTAACAATAGAGGTATTAAGTGAGGTAACACTAGAGGTACCACTAGAGGAAACCCTGGAGGTAACACTAGAGGTAACACTGGAGGAAACCCTGGAGGTAACACTAGATGTTACACTAGAGGTTACACTTGTGGTAACATAAGAGGTAACAATAGAGGTAACACTGGAGGTAACACTAGAGGTACCACTAGTGGTAGCACTAGAGGTAACAATGGAGGTAACACTGGAGGTAACAATAGAGGTAACACAAGAGGTAACACTGGAGGTAACACTAGAGGTAACACTAGAGGTAACACTGGAGGTAACACTGGAGGTAACACTAGAGGTAGTTATAGAGGTGGCACTAGAGGTAACACTAGAGGTAACACTAAAGGTAACAATAGAGGTAACACTAAAAGTAACACTGGAGGTAACACTTGAGGTAACACTTGAGGTAACACTAGAGGTAGCTCTAGAGGTGGCACTAGAGGTAACACTAGAGGTAACACTAAAGGTAACACTGGAGGTAACACTAGAGGTATCACTAGAGGTAACACTGGAGGTAACACTAGAGGTAACATTAGAGGTATTAAGGGAGGTAACACTAGAGGTAACACTTGAGGTAGCACTAGAGGTAACACTAGAGGTAACACTGGAGGTAACACTATATGTAACACTAGAGGTAACACTAGAGGTAACACTGGAGGTTACACTTGAGGTAACACAAAAGGTAACACAAGAGGTAGCACTAGAGGTAACACTAGAGGTAACACTAGATACAGTACTAGATGTAACACTAGAGGTAGCACTGGAGGTAACACAAGAGGTAACACTGGAGGTAACACTAGAGGTAGCACTAGAGGTAACACTAGAGGTAACACTAGAGGTAACACTGGAGGTAACACTAGATACAGTACTAGATGTAACACTATATGTAACACTAGAGGTAACACTAGAGGTAACACTGGAGGTAACACTAGAGGTAACAATAGAGGTTACACTGGAGGTAACACTAGATGTAACAATAGAGGTAACACTGGAGGTAACACAAGAGGTAACACTAGATGTAACACTAGAGGTAACAATAGAGGTAACACTGGAGGTTACACTGGAGGTAACACTAGAGGTAACACTGTAGGTAGCACTAGAGGTATTACTAGAGGTAATACTGGAGGTAACACTAGAGGTAACACTAGAGGTAACACTGGAGGTAACACTAGAGGTTACACTGGAGGTAAAACTAGAGGTAACACTGGAGGTAACACTAGAGGTAACACTAGAGGTAACACTGGAGGTAACACTAGGGGTAGCACTAGAGGTATTACTAGAGGTAATACTGGAGGTAACACTAGTGGTAGCACTAGTGGTAACACTAAAGGTTACACTGGAGGTAGCACTGGAGGTAACACTGGAGGTGACACTAGAGGTAACACTGGAGGTAACACTGGAGGTAACACTAGAGGTAACACTAGTGGTAGCACTAGAGGTAACACTAAAGGTTACACTGGAGGTAACATTAGAGGTAACACTGGAGGTAACACTAGATACAGTACTAGATGTAACACTAGAGGTATTAAGGGAGGTAACACTAGAGGTACCACTAGTGGTAGCACTAGAGGTAACATTAGGGGTAACACTGGAGGTTACACTAGAGGTAAGACTAGAAGTACCACTAGAGGTAACACTGGAGGTAACACTAGATACAGGACTAGATGTAACACTAGAGGTAACACTGAAGGTAACACTTGAGGTAACACTAGAGGTAACACTGGATGTAACACTAGAGGTAACACTAGAGGTAACACTGAAGGTAACACTAGAGGTAACACTAGAGGTAACACTGGAGGTAACACTGAAGGTAACACTAGATGTAACACTGAAGGTAACACTTGAGGTAACACTAGAGGTAGCTCTAGAGGTGGCACTAGAGGTAACACTAGAGGTAACACTAAAGGTAACACTGGAGGTAACACTAGAGGTAACACTGGAGGTAACACTAGAGGTAACACTAGTGGTAACACTTGAGGTAACACTAGAGGTAGTAGAGGTGGCACTAGAGGTAACACAAGAGGTTACACTAAAGGTAACACTGGAGGTAACACTAGAGGTAACACTGGAGGTAACAATAGAGGTAACACTAAAGGTAACACTGGAGGTAACACTTGAGGTAACACTTGAGGTAACACTAGAGGTAGCTCTAGAGGTGGCACTTGAGGTAACACTAGAGGTAGCTCTAGAGGTGGCACTAGAGGTAACACTAGAGGTAACACTAAAGGTAACACTGGAGGTAACACTAGAGGTAACACTAAAGGTAACACTGGAGGTAACAATAGAGGTATTAAGGGAGGTAACACTAAAGGTAACACTAGAGGTAACACTAGTGGTAGCACTAGAGGTAACACTAGAGGTAACAATGGAGGTAACACTGGATACAGTACTAGATGTAACACTAGAGGTAACACTGAAGGTAACACTTGAGGTAACACTAGAGGTAGCTCTAGAGGTAACACTAGAGGTAACACTAAATATAACACTGGAGGTAACACTTGAGGTAACACTAGAGGTAACACTGTAGGTAACACTGGGGGTAACACTAGAAGTAGCATTAGAGGTATTAAGGGAGGTAACACTAGAGGTACCACTAGTGGTAGCACTAGAGGTAACAATGGAGGTAACACTAGATACAGTACTAGATGTAACACTAGAGGTAACACTGAAGGTAACACTTGAGGTAACACTGGAGGTAACTCTAGATACAGTACTAGATGTAACACTGGAGGTAACACTAGAGGTAACACTGAGGGTAACACTAGAGGTAACACTAGATACAATACTAGATGTAACACTGGAGGTAACACTAGAGGTAACACTGAAGGTAACACTTGAGGTAACACTGGAGGTAACACTAGATACAGTACTAGATGTAACACTGAAGGTAACACGGGAGGTAACACTGGAGGTAACACTGGAGGTAACCCTAGATACAGTACTAGATGTAACACTGGAGGTAACACTGGGGGTAACCCTAGATACAGTACTAGATGTAACACTGTAGGTAACACTGGGGGTAACACTAGATACAGTACTAGATGTAACACTGGAGGTTACACTGGGGGTAACCCTAGATACAGTACTAGATGTAACACTGGAGGTAACACTGGGGGTAACACTAGATACAGTACTAGATGTAACACTGAAGGTAACACTGGAGGTAACACTGGAGGTAACACTAGATATAGTACTAGATGTAACACTAGATGCAACACTAGAGTTGCTCGAGGGAGGATAGCACAGCTATATCGTTAACTCCATTAAGTTCACCATTCCAACAGAGACATTTCGTCAGAAACAACAACACCTATTGCTATGAAGAATTAATAACTAGTAAATGATATATAGAGTAGAAACTTCAGTCATATACATTTAACTATTAAAGAGCCCTTTCCCACTCCATGGCAAACACTAGAGAAGTTACTTCCCCTTATATTTGGTGTCTTCTTTTTACAAGAAACAAATTTTAAAATAACGCCTCTTTATAACGATCATATGCATGCTATCTGGACATGATAGGGCATTTTATTTAATTTTTTCTTCTATCTTTGAATTCACATTTTTTTTCATTTTTTTTTTTTGAAGTCTCTTTGGCTCCTGTTAACAGTTCGTACAACAATGACGTCAGAATGCTTTTAACCCTATTTAAGTAGGATGATATTTTCTGGTATGTTTCTGTTTGTTTACTTCCCGAAATTGGTCTCCGTGAAGTATAGATAATGTAAAGAGCGCAGAACGGTGACCTTCGTTTCACTGACGTTAATCTAGATGGAAATTGAACGCGTTCGAAAGTTTATCAGATTCTGAGAAGTTTTTCCATTTGTAGTACGAGTTCTTCAAAGTAGTCATTTTTTTTTTAAATAATTGTAAAAAACAATGCTTCTAAATAACGCACATCCCAAAAGTATTTACCTGCAGAGGAACTTTACTCAGGGGGTTTGTCGGCAGCATGAGTTGTCTGCCCATACGGATTGGAAAGCGCGGAAAGTCTTCTATGACCATGGTCACTCGGTACGTTTGACCAGGAAAGTATCCCCTGTTGGTCGTGGTATTAAGGGTAATGGTACAGGCACTCTAATTCAAATAACAAAACAGAACGAGTCAATTCCATAGTAAGTCCTCTTGAGACAAGGATAAGTGCCCTGTGTTGCAGCGTTATCGGGCGGTCATTTCGTGCTAATGGACTGACAGTACACAGCTGATACATAGACTGAAGGGTTTACACATTATATCCATGTTTCAATAACATAAGATATGTATTCACCATCGATCACTGAAAATCTGTTAACATGAACAAAGTTTCATAATTATGGAATTTTCCACTTTAAGGGAGCGTGTAGACATCCACCAAATTATTAACAATAACAAAGTGATAAATATAAGTGAGTGTATATATGTATGAATAGGAAAACTATTAGTATAAATATTTGTGATCAGAAGAACTACCACATTAAGGAAATATCCTGTACCTTGTTACTTTCATGGACTGTATGTTGTATAGATAAAATAAAGTATACTGTGCTTATTACTGAAATGTACGTCAGTAGTACACTTACCATACAACGGTAATATCAAAATTACAATAAACTGCAAAGAAGAAATATGAAATCGTATACTAAGAGTACTTACTATTTTGAAAATAAGGGATAGACAACTTCTTCAACACATCAAATTTATCAAAATCAAAGGTTCATCTCTTAAATCACTGCGATATTAAAAGCGTTAAAGTATTGATGTTTATATGTTTTCATTCACATGTTTAACAATAGTTCGCCCGTGCTCGTTTCTGGATGATTAGTTGGTTTCATAGACATTAGACACATAATACGGCCAGTTACTCTATTATTAACGAGCTAACTATTGATGTAGCTTGTATCCAGTTTGTTAATTTTATAACCCAGAAGGTATTTTAACGTACTAGGTGTTGTGGACTTGAGGTTTAACAATGGACTATATTATCATAGTTTCATATGTAATCGTACTGAATAAAACATGATGAGTCAGACAAATTAGAAATCAAGATAACATATTATATAATAAATTGATAGTACATAAAGTAGGTGTCAGTTTGACCTTATCTTTGTAGGCCTGAGGGAGGTTGGAACATAATTGTAGGCCCGAGGGAGGTTGGTACATAACACATATGTAGGTATAACCATTTCTATGTAGGCCTGAGGGAGGTTTTTAAATAAATGAGATGTAGCTATAGGTACATGTATAACCTTTTCTATGTAGGCCTGAGGGAGGTTGGTACATAACACAAATGTAGGTATAATCTTATCATTGTAGGCCTGAGGGAGATTCGTACATAACACAGATGTAGGTATAACCTTATCATTGTAGGCCTGAGGGAGATTCGTACATAACACAGATGTAGGCATAACCTTATCATTGTAGGCCTGAGGGAGGTTGGTACATAACACAGATGTAGGTATAACCTTTTCTATGTAGGCCTGAGGGAGATTGGTACATAACACAGATGTAGGTATAACCTTTTCTATGTAGGCCCGAGGGAGGTTGGTTCATAACACATATGTAGGTATAACCTTTTCTATGTAGGCCTGAGGGAGGTTGGTACATAACACAGATGTAGGTATAACCTTATATTTGTAGGCCTGAGGGAGGTTGGAACATAACACAGATGTAGGTATAACCTTTTCTATGTAGGCCTGAGGGAGGTTGTTACATAAATGAGATGTAGGTATAACCTTATCTATGTAGGCCTGTGGCAGGTTGGTACAAGCTGATCCACACTCGGACTGCTTGGCCCATCGGCACCCTAACACGTCATGATCAGGTTCAGTGACGGGCACGCTCATAGTTACCAGGCAACCATGTGGAACTCTGAAAGATGTACACCATACGTCTGTGGCTAAACTAATTCGTATATAACAAAAAATGAATCATATAATCACCTTTTCAATATAACGCTGATTTTTGTTTCATTTAGTAAGATGTAGTATTTAACATAATTTAAAGATTGGAAGAGTGAAGGTCAGGGTCTGTAATTTACAAACTGTTTCACCTTTGGATACGCTATATCCCATAAACACGTATAGTTTCACATGTTTTTAAAAGATAACATAATAGTAACGTAAATTGTTGCCGTCTTGCTTCCTTTCTGTTTTTCTTCCCGTGTCGATTTTCTACATTTTCCCTAACTTGTTGTAAATGTCTCGCTTATATCAGGGATGTGTACACATCCCTGCTTATATATATTAAAATATTGCATGTTTATATGTACCACACACTTTAGCGTATCCAAACAGATGCAGATACCATTTTATTATACACTCACCCTATGTACGGTGGGAGAGCGGCGATAGGACTGGCGTTTTGTTCATTGGTATCGTTGCGTGTCCGTGTGTCCACGAATGTCTCCATGGATACGATGCTCCCTCCTGATGCGTTAGCGGTCAAAACCCATACCACGTTGGCGTTGTTTAGTCTGATACAATTAAAAGCGTTCCAGACTAAACAATGCCATGTAAAGAAATCACATCATGTCTTAATTGAGACCCATTAACAATCACTAGGTACAACACATACAGTAAAAGTGGAAATTTTCGCAGTTTGAAAATGCTCGCGCTTATAACGATAAGCAAACGGTCGACATGAATTGTTCAGACGGATTATCAAACTATATGATCATGGAGAATTATGCACTAGAATGTTATTTCATTTTAGTTAAAATATGTGCATTTTGTTACGGAAATATTAAAACACTGTCATTTTATTACAACAGACCATAATTGTTACATTTCGACCTGTCATGGTTAGCTTCATTTGCCATGTTTCTGATGTGATATATGTATAACGCAAGCGCTGTAACTGTATTAAACATAAAAAAAATGCGCCGAATTGCGCCGAATTCTACTACGAAAATAATAGTAATAATAATAATAATAATATACAACATTTATATAGCGCCCTATATAATTTGTAAAATTACTCTAAGGCGCTTTACAACATATGGATAATAGTAATGGTTATAATTGTGAAAACAAACAACAAAGGCTTGCAATCACTTTCATACATTTAACAAGCAATGTGCACATAATTGAACAAATAAAAGGGTGGTATTTACATGACGTCTTTGCAAAGATTCTAAAATGCAGACGTGAAGAGGTGAGTTTTTATGTCCCTCTTGAACTTGGCCAGGGTATTCGACTTCCTAATAGCAGATGGTAAGCTATTCCACAACGTAGCCGAAACCCTCCCAAAGCATCTGTTTCCGTAGGTCACAGTACGAGATTTTGGGACACACAACAAAGATTCTGACTCCGACCGCAGTGATCTTGACGGCTGATACAGGGTAACAAGTTCCTGTAGGTACTGAGGAGCTGTTCCATTCAGTGCCTTGTATGTGTATACCAGAATTTTGTACTGCGACCTGTATCGTACAGGTAACCAGTGCAACGAATAAAGCGCAGGTGTGATGTGCTCTCTCTTTCGAGTACGAGTAACTAGCCGTGCTGCAGTGTTCTGAACCCTCTGCAGACGACTAGTTAGTTTGTCAGATATACCACAGAGCAGGGCGTTACCATAATCCAACCGAGAGGTAACAAGTGAATGCACCAAAATCTTGCATGCATCTGTAGTTAGAAACTGCCGAATACAGACGATGTTCCTGATCTGGTAGTAACAGGATTTGGCAATAGCGTTCACTTGTTTCTCCATGTTCAGAGAACTGTCAAAGTATACCCCTAGGTTTTTAACAGCTGGAACAGTCTCAATAGTTCTGGCACCAACCTTGAGCTGGAGAGCCATTGTTTGCTGACACTTTAGGGAAAAGACGATTAGTTCCGTCTTTTCCTGATTAACTATAAGCATGTTAGCGTTCATCCAGATACTGATATCTGTCAGACAAGCTTCCAGCCTTTCTGAGACTGTATTCCAACTGTCCTGTGGTTTTATGACCATGTACATTTGTGTGTCATCGGCATAGCAATGAGTTTTAGAGAATACATTGATGGCTATATTTGTTTGATAATCTTAACCATTTACTCATCAAATACAGTTTTGAAATTTGGATCAACCGGAAGCCAAAAGGCAAATATAAATGTGTAAACACAAAATTGGAAAATGATCTACGTATCATTGAATTTATAAAAGTACGAGTGCTCAGGTGCGCCAAATATTACGACTGCTCTGAATACTGCAATCAGCAGTCAGAAAACATGTGTATTTCCACCTGAAATATTAATCTCATCATCGGTGTCTGGTTTAGACTCGGAAATATTAATCTCGTCGGTGTCTGGTTTTGACTCGGAAATATTAATCTCAATGGCGTTTGGTTTAGACTCGGAACTATTAATCTCATCGGGGTCTGGTTTAGACTCGGAACTATTAATCTCATCGGGGTCTGGTTTAGACTCGGGAATATTAATCTCATCATCGGTGTCTGGCTTAGACTCGGAAATATTTATCTCGTCGGTGTCTGGTTTTGACTCGGAAATATTAATCTCGCCGGGGTTTGGTTTAGACTCGGAACTATTAATCTCATCGGGGTCTGGTTTAGACTCGGGAATATTAATCTCATCGGTGTCTGATTTAGACTCGGAAATATAAATCTCATCGGTGTTTGGTTTAGACTCGGAAATATTAATCTCAATGGTGTTTGGTTTAGACTCGGAAATATAAATCTCATCGGTGTTTGGTTTAGACTCGGAAATATTAATCCCGCCGGTGTTTGGTTTTACAAGTTTCAAGGTATAACTGCATAAAAAAAACAATGATTCTGATAATTTCAAATTACAGCAAATTACAGCAAGTACGAATATCTCGATCCAGTCGAAACAGAAAGTGGACGAACCAAAAAACAAATGGCATTCCTTACATGAATACAAACACTTACCCTATTAGACATATACTGTGAATCAATTGATATTCGTAAACGACCATTTTCGCAGCTGTATCTTATTTTTAAGAAATAAAAAGATAAAAAAGTGTTTGGGTGAGTACTTCATTTTCATGATTTTAACACAGCACTGTTTCCTTTGTATTACTGATTTTATGTTATTTAGGGTGTACCTCTCCTACATATTCATAACCTTTGATTTTATGTTATTTAGGGTGTATCTCTCCTACATATTCATAACCTTTGACCTGTTTATTTCCAGTTTAATAATAACAAAATGTACAATAAAACTGTTGTTCTATTTGTTACAAAGTAATGATATATGTGTTCTGAAACATTTCCATGTCATTTAATACTTTAGGAATACTGTTCTGATAAACCTTAAATACAAGGTAATAGTATATGTATTGATATGTGTTATAAAAAATATGTAAATCAGTTTAATATCAATACATATTTGAGTTGAAAATGTTGTAAGATGTAAGTGAGAAAGCTCACCTTAAAGAAAACTTGGAGTATAGTTTAGAGGAGACGTTAAATGCCCGCTCCCCTTGCTCCCAGCCTGACGACAGAGTCGTGGTGACGTAATTAAGGTCTGCCATGTGACCAACACCTGTTGTCTGCCAGAACGTAGAGTCGAACGGAGCGCGACCTGTTGTCAGTTTTCCGATGGAAGTGTTGGTACATCCCGGTCCACAGGGCCCGTAACCCCTCAGCCATGTCAGTCTGTACGTAAATCGTGTCTGTGACGAAAGCATGACATATACATGTAAATTCATTTAAAACAATGGTTTACTTTCTGCTAACTGATATCATAAACATCGTGTAAAACTGGATTGTAACATCATTATATTAATTTTGTCTTGGAAGACGATAGATTTATATAATTGTATTTTGTTTGCTAAATTCAATTATATTTGACCTATTTACCTAATAGATATTAGTATATACTGTATACAATGAAATTCTGCCGCAATTTAGCTTTTGCCTTTTTTGCCTGTGTATTTGAATATGAACGTGTGTAATTGTTGGAGTAGATTCACATTAATATGACACAGGTAGATTTACATAGCATGTTGCAGATCCTGTTAGAGCAGCCGTTTGTTGGAAAAAAGGTGACAGAGTCAATGTATGTTTGTTTCAAGTTCATATATATCTAACATTAATGGAATTTTTAAAATCAGACGATAAATGTTTCGACTTTTATGTAGTTGATGACTTTAATGTATTTTCTTTTATATTTCTATGGTGTTAAACTCAACTGAAAATTGGTAACGCTTAAGACGACTCTCTATTCTACATATACTGGATACATTAAGTTCCTCATAAGCATAAATAACATTTATTGCGGTTTTACTGATATGAAAAGTTAGCAGCATAAGAAACTTACTTGTCCTCCAATAGATCTCCAATTGATTGTCCCTCCAAGAAATATGTTATTGTTGGCACAAACCAATCCTAAACAACAAAATAACAATACAATTAGGTACAGAGAATAACTCGTATCCATGATAGACTAGGGCCCGCCTCGAGACCCACTTTGCCCCAGTAACAGTCGGACCGGACTGGGGATCGTGACCATTCACTATCAGTAGTCATACAATTAGCATGGCAAGTGTAACATGGAAACCAGTGGTGTAAGTAACCAACGTTGTCTCCATGTTATTATTGAACAATATTACAGCCATATACCTTAAATAAAAACCGAATGTATCAATTATTATAATAATAAAGTTTTAACAGTTGTATGATATAGTGTTATTCATTTTTTGGCATACTGTATCCATAATGTATCCATACTGTATCCATACTGTATCCATACTGTATCCATAATGTATCCATACTGTATCCATAATGTATCCATACTGTATCCATACTGTATCCATANTACTGTATTCATACTGTATCCATAATGTATCCATACTGTATACATACTGTATACATAATGTATCCATAATGTATTCTTACTGTATTCATACTGTATCCATACTATATCCATACTGTATACATACTGTATCCATACTGTATCCTTACTGTATGTATACTGTATCCATACTGTATTCATACTGTATATATACTGTATACATATTGTATCCATACTGTATACATACTGTATACATAATGTATCCATAATGTATTCTTACTGTATCCATAATGTATCCATACTGTATCCTTACTGTATGTATACTGTATCCATACTGTATTCATACTGTATATATACTTTATCCATAATGTATCCATACTGTATCCATACTGTATCCTTACTCTATGTATACTGTATCCTTACTGTATGTATACTGTATCCATACTGTATTCATACTGTATATATACTTTATCCATAATGTATCCATACTGTATCCATACTGTATCCATAATGTATTCTTACTGTATTCATACTGTATACATACTGTATCCATACTGTATCCTTACTGTATGTATACTGTATCCATACTGTATTCATACTGTATATATACTTTATCCATAATGTATCCATACTGTATCCATACTTTATCCATAATGTATCCATACTGTATCCTTACTGTATCCATACTGTATCCATACTGTATCCTTACTGTATCCATACTGTATCCTTACTATATCCTTACTGTATCCATACTATATCCATAATGTATACATACTGTATCCATACTGTATTCATACTGTATCCATACTGTATACATATTGTATCCATACTGTATACATACTGTATTCATACTGTATTCATACTGTATCCATAATGTATCCATACTATATCATTACTGTATACATATTGTATCCTTACTGTATCTATACTGTATCCATACTGTATCCATTATATCCATACTGTATCCATACTGTATTCATACTGTATCCATAATGTATCCATACTGTATACATACTGTATACATAATGTATCCATACTGTATTCATACTGTATACATACTGTATCCATACTGTATCATTACTGTATCATTACTGTATACATATTGTATTCTTCCTGAATCTATACTGTATCCATACTGTATCCATATTGTATCCTTACTGTATCTATACTGTATCCATACTGTATCCATATTGTATCCTTACTGTATCCATACAGTATACCTACTGTATTCATACTGTATCCATCACCAATTTTGCGAGCACATATTTGTCTTTCGTTCATCTATCATGGATATTTTGAATACTTTTTTATTCATTTTACAACAAAATACAAGCATTATAGTATAATCATGACCGACATTATTACGTATATATATAAATATATATCAATTATATGATCGATATGGATGGTCACAGGAACTTATCAACTAGCATCCAAATTGCTTGATTTCTGTGGAGTTAACAGAAATATTGCAATTAAAAAAATGCTTTCTGTTGTTGCGGGAATATAATCATTTAACGATTGTTATCATTTCGGAGTTAATAGAAATGATCTGAGGTCACAGAAAGAAGTAAAGAAATTAAAGTTGACAATGCAAAAGTATTTTGTTAAAACATGTAACTGGGATAAGCTTTCCTCTCTGTTGGAAACGGACAAATATGGCTAATGATCGACTGCCTGTTTACAAGGGGATATCTTGATGTAGGGGTTCTTTTCTGACATTGTCAGCGTTCATGGAAATTTTCCGAGATTAAAGGAATAGAACAATAACGTTGTATGTTATCAGAGGACACAGGAAGGGATTAATTATCAATCAAGTCATTGAAGTTCATTTCATTTTCTTTTGACGAAATCGTAATAGTGACGACGTAATATATATACATGTCATTGCGAAGAAAGGAATCGTTAGATCAGATAAATAACGACCATTTGGATAGACTATGAAATGTTCTTTTTACACAACCAATACAATTTTCTATGTGACGTTACGATGACTACTATTTTGGTACATATATAACAACTATTGTACATACGCTTACAGCGTAGCCGAAATCGACATCGATTCTGTGGACAACTCGTACACATTTTACACCGTTGTGTGCATACGCTTCACTGGTCATTTGTCTGATGAAGGTGACAGTGTACATATTGTACTAGTCATCGAAACGTCACATAGAAAATTGTGTTTGTGTAAAAAGAACTTTTCATAATCCATACTTACCAACATGAAAAAATGTTAGAAACATTTGGATAGACAAAGGGGAATAACTTCTTTACTTAGTTGATATCTAGTATCATCCTATCCCGTTGGTCAGTTGTTATATTTCAGTGTCTACAATGATTAAATGCACATGCTTAACTGACCGACGAGAGCATAGTAATAATACCAACGTTTATCACTATACTTATGGCAACGCGTTATCATTTTTACAACATTTTACATATATTTTCTTTACTAGGGCATTAAATATTACCAGTTTAAATTAGAATTGATTTATCACGTTTCTTCCAAAGATTTTATCATAGTGCTACCAACTTTGATCTCTGTACTGTGTAAATAATTAAACGCACAGGCATGTTTAACATGTAACAACTAATTATATCTTTTAATGTCGTAAACAAGGAACACTTTATATTGCCCTTAAGTATACATTTAACTGCTTTTCTATCTGTTTTCATCATGGTCATATAAAGGTTTCACACAGTAGATATTTTAACACCAGGTTGCTCCCCACTCGATATTTAAGCCATTTTTAAGACTTAAGAGTTCAATGCAGGCGGATAATTAAACCTCTACCTATCTTCGCCGCTCGTGTAACGTTATACTCTGTCACATCGGCCATTCAAGGTTACTCAAATAAAGTACATATCATGTTTTTGTTTTGCTATTTAGCCTTACTGACTGACATTTATCCTTGCAATCAACACCGCCTACTAGTAACAGGTTTACACAAGTCGTACCGTTTATCAGATGTATTGTGTGGTACCTCTGAGATTAGTCTATGTGTCATGTTTAAATGCTGATCACTGTTGTTAGCCTTTAATAGCTTTGTAAACGTACTGGTGATCTTTCACAATAAACTTATCAAACATACCAAATACAATTGTAAAACTACGTCATACCCACTGGTAACTTTCCAGTAATGACTGGTTGTGGAATTCGTATACATTTTATGCTGGTTCTTGATTAGTACCTATTAAAAACCTCTCTAATTGAGCATATCGTCTTGTTCAACAGTACCATTTTTAAAATGTTAAATATATAAAAATGGAAACCTTGTGAAACGTTATGGAATGCTATGAAAGTTGTTATAAACTACATTATTCTTATTTTGGAAAATCTACTGTGATGTAACGTAATATCGTTAAATTCTGGTGTGTGCCAGCTTTAGGACACCTGGGTTAACCATTGACCCTACAATGAGCTGATCACCCGTCAGTGATAATCAGTCAGAAACTCCCTCAACCAGACCGTCCCTCTATTCAACATTGAACACATATAGTTATAGAATACCTGGTAGTGTACAGGCATAATCAAGTCACATTGTAATTAAAGATTTGGTGCTACCGGTTCACATTGAAGGCAAGGAGGAACCTCTGATGTACAGGTAACGTTTATTATTCGAAGTGTTACCAATATTTAAGTGAACGTTAAACTTTATCACTGCTAATAACAGGTTGTTTTTATTGTTTGGTGTGTTTTTAGACGGTATATCACTGTATCTAATTTTACTTTGTGTATAGCGATAAAAGGAATTTATGGTGATATCTATCCGCGATTCGGTCATATTATCAGAGAATAACGTCAGAGTCTTTATACCATGTTTGTGACGTCAAAACATTGTCCCGTACCACTTTGTATGTAAATACGTGTGTTCCATAAGGAAGGTCTCGGTTCTGGTCCTAATTTTACATCCTAGAGTATAAGTTCCGTATCCTCAATACCTTTATATGAAAGATTCTATTTATAAACATGACAATTCATTTCTATCACTCTTCTAATATCCTAGTCTTTCACTCCTTCCCCATGTAATGCTAGTAGCAACATTAATGACAACACATTTATGTAACAGGAAACAAGTGTCTGGTGAATTGCATTTAATATCGTCATGAATATGAACTTGTTTTTCAGGCTGATTGGACCAAATACTTTTCTACACAGATATGAAGAAAATTCTTATTCACAAGCAGGCGTGATCATTTATAATAAGGGAAGAAAAAGTGAAAGATCGTGTAAGGAACTAGTGACACAGAAGACCTAGGAAAATGGTTATCCCTTTTAACATCTACAGCTGGTTTAAAAATAGATATGTACAATGTGGACGATGGAGGCTGACCTGCCTTGTATCACTGCTACTTCTGTTAGGGGGAGTAATGATCGTCATAGAAGTGTCTCTAGTGTCTTCTAGGTACGAGCTTGTCAAGGTTCACCCTCGCGAGGAAGTCGTCCACACGGAGGAGATTGCGAACGCCAAGGAAGGGGAAGAGGATGAAACCGTGAAAAATGAACCAAACGATTCTGTTTCCAATCAACCTTTACAGCATTCAACTCAAAAAGAAAATTTTTCCTACCCTTTGAATGTTAATATTTCTGAAGCAATAAATCAGAAAAGTATGTACGGCAAGCCGATACCATACATTCCGATAAACTTACACATATATGAATATCTAAATCGACCGCCCGATTGTAAGTTCCCCAATGGAAATACCAAAAATATTCTCGTGTTCATCAAGTCCCCAGCTATGAACATAGAACAGAGAATAGCTGTGCGGGCCATATGGAGACAAGTGGCAGTTCCAACTGTTAAACGTGTGTTCACACTTGGCAGAGTGACTGGACCAAAATGGCGGATAGAACAAGAGAGCAGATTGTATAACGACATCTTGCAGGAAACATTTGATGACCAGCTGAACGACACTCTAAAAATCGTGATGTCCTATAACTGGGCGGTCAAGTATTGCCCGATGGCAGATCTTCTTCTATTTCTTAATGACAATTTTTACGTCGAGTATAACAAAATTGCGGCTTACTTGCGGTTTGTCATGGAAACCAAGAGCCGCAATGTTTACATTGGTAAAGTAGTGTCGTACGTTCCGCCTTACAGAGACGAGAGCAAAAGACTATTCTTCCCGTTTGAGTGGTACTTGTCCGATAATGTTCCGTCGTACGTCCGCGGGGGAGCTTATGCGGTCTCGTATGACGTAGCTCAGCGATTGAGTATGGCGTTTCCGTACGTTGCACATCTCAACCTTGATGATGTTTATGTTGGTATCGTGGCAAACAAATTGTCCATCCGTCACATGAACGACGACCGCTTTGATCCCAAAAATAAAAACGCTTTGGTATGGGAATGTTCTGATGTTGCTTTTGAACTGCTGAAGAAGAATTGTCCTCTGTCTGGAAAAAATCGTCAAAAGTTGATAGACTACAAAGAGGAAGTACAGTTTTACTCCAAGTACAACCAAACAAGTCGGTATCTTTACTATGGATTGAACTTCTCTTACCCATTGCACATTGATCTTTTAAAATACGTATCTGCAGCTGTTTCTCATAACAAACCTATACCTTACGAACCGATAAATCCACATCCATTCCACTTTATGAATAGACCGCCAAACTGTAAATTCCCAGTAGATCCAAACGGCAATAAGAATATCCTCATTATGGTAAAATCTTTTGTTGGTAATTTCAAATTGCGTCAGGCAATCCGTTCTGTGTGGAGAAAAATAGGTGATTCTCATATCAAGAGAGTATTTACGCTTGGCTACCCAAAAGTAAACCAGAGCCTTGTGGAATTAGAAAGTAAGAAGTTCAAAGATATTATACAAGAAGACTTTCGAGACGCCTATCTGAACAATACTTATAAAACCATAATGTCGTTTAACTGGGCAGTGAAATTTTGTCCTGCGGCGGACATGGTGTTCTTCATGGACGATGACTATTACGTGAAGGAGCGCGAGTTGGCTGGTTATCTTAGAAGCTTGAGGAGGAAAAAAGACCTGTTCCTCGGGAGGCTGGTGGTTCACGCGCCTCCCTACAGGAGCAACGAAAAGTGGCACTTGACGTATCAGCAGTATCCTTATAACCGCTTCCCTCCTTACCTCAGCGGGGGTGCATTTGTAGCCACATTTGATGTAGTTCGAAAGTTTTACTTTGCTTTTCCGTATGTTAAATATATGGGTCTAGATGATGTCTATTTAGGCATTGTGGCTAAGAAGTTATCAATAATACCTAGAAATGAAACATATTTTGATTCCGCTAATGACTTTGCTATTGCGAAACATTGTTCAAATGACCCAAATCAGCTTCTTAATGAACAGTGTACACTCATCGGCTTTGTCATACCTACCAGCGATGAACCTCTAGAAGACCAACAGCCTAACAGTGTGATGGAGCACGTCAAAAGATTGCTTCATACCACTCTGTCTGGTCTCACAAAGTTCATTAGCTCCAATCCTGCGTCGTAATGTTTACATACACAGTCATTAAGGAGATTTATATATGTTTTGGGAGGACAAAATAAGTTCATAGTTTGTTTTCTTATCCATATGCTTATTCATATCTGCATGAACAAATACAAAGATGGACTAATAACAAGTAAATTATTGTTAAGAACAAAAGTGTTATTTTTTACTTTTTTTAAGAGTTTAGGAATGAACTTTCTGGACACGTATGTTGTGAGAGAAATTTGGTCGTTTCAAGCTCCCCATAGTTAAACGTTGAGATGAAAGTGCTAAGAGTATAACTTTGTCCTGGTCTTCAGAGCGATGTTCAATTCCTTTTCAGACCAAAAGTTGTTTTCATAGTTTAAGAGCCAGTCAAACTTTGGGAGTTTACATTATGACTGAAACTACTACATTTATATATATATATATATATATATATATACAAAGTAAAAAAGAGTTAATTAAAATCATGCCGTATCTATTGCTTCTTTAATGAATGAATTAATACAGAACTAGAAATATGTCAAAATGACATGAAAGTCACCCCATCTCCTGTATGATATTTCCATCTGTCAATCCAAATGGTCTAACAATGACCAGGTGTATATGCAAACACGCTGTTTAGGTAACCATGCCAACACATTGTTATAATAAGAAAGCATGTGGTTGATTTGCTTGAAGAAAATGCTTTATGACCATAAAACACAAAATACATAACCCTGCAAATCATTTCATTTTTTTTAAATTTCTGTGACATTCCATGGCCTTCTGAATCCAAATTCCAAGGCCTTCCACATTCAAACAGGCCAAAGTGCCAGGAAGAGATATATCATCTACTGAAATGAAAAAAAATGACATCACAGAACAAATGCATCTTGGAGCAAATCATTTTCCCCAAAACAAAAGGCTGATAATTCAGGAATTTCCCATCCCTATCACTAGTTTGTACTTGTATTGTATTGGTGGTTATTTATCTCCATATCATCAGTTGAAAATGCCCAGTAAAAATCATTTGTTGGTAAAAATGTCAATATATTCACATACAAGAAAAAATATAACACGGCGACACAAAATATCATTGATTTTGGAGAATCATTACAATTTTACTTCACAAAATATATACCAATGAAATATCGCAATTGTTTAACTCGAATCCGTACATCAACACATTCTTTGGCTGTAGAAGTTGGAAGGTATAGTAATATACCTAGAGAACGTAGATATTGTAAACAGTGTAACTCCCCCTCTGAAGTAGAGGACGAATTTCATTTTTTATTAGTCTGTTCTAAATTCCAAAATCTCAGATCACATTTTATCAAAAGCTATTATTGGAAAAAAACATTTGTGTTTAAAGCCGTTCAGTTATTGAGTGTCTATAATATTAAAGAATTGTGTATACTAGGAAAATTCATCTATGAGGCAAACAAATTAAGGATATTATAATCGAATATGATTGTCTTCATTCTCTGTACATTGTCCATAATTTGTGTATAATATATATTGTATTGCCAATGGCCTAAAGTTCGAATAAAACACTTGAACTTGATATATAATTATCGGAAAATTGTCGTCTCGATCAGAGTGCAAGATTGACACAATTCAAGTTATATATGCCATTTGAACTGCTCTGGCAAATACAAAAGAAATTCGTTAAAAATATCTCGGCTGCGTCCCATGTAAAAACACACCCGTGTCTCGCTATTGCCGCGCATCACCTCACGAGATTTATCTACTCTAATCCAGTTAAAACAACCCTTTTCCCGACCCTAACTTACCCTATTGTTCTCCACAGAGCACCCCTCGGAACTAGACAATGTAGCCATAATTTGATAATTGGCGATATTAATATCACACGGAGTCGTTGTGTTGACAGGTGACCATTTTGTCAAAACACAAAAGAGTTCCAATACCTGACCTTACCATTCATAGAAAATGCATCCAGCCGTGACATCGTAGTACACAGTGATGTCGTGGGGCTTAATTTACCTGTATAAATGTCTGTATAAATGTTGTAATAATATGCCTATGAGCCGCAAGGCTTAAAAATAATAAACAATACAATACCAGTAACAATTGCTCTAGAAACAGTTATCACTAAAAATAAATCTATTGTCGACATTTTCGCCAAGAGTAGTTTCAAATCATGTTTTACTTTCGCCATTGGAGCCAGCGGCGACCACAAGCGCGAGCCTTGGCGTGAAATGATAACGAAAAAGGGACGTTATTGAGTTTTTCTACCTGAACATCTTAGTACAACGTTTCTATTGGTTTAAAAAGAAATTTACCAATATAGTCGTTGGTCAAACATAAAATATCTAAATCGATATCTGAGTTATCCAAGAGCTTGTAATTAGCGACAGAAGCAAACACACGAAAGCCCTTAACAGTGGTCGGCAACAGATGTCAAAATCTGGGACTGAAACCGAAATTAATAGTCCCCGCTGGGGTTTCTCAATGGGTGATTAAAAATCATAATAGTGGTAGAAATGTCAACATTCTAAAGAGTTTTTAATCCGTTTTATAGAATCTTAAAAGAAAGACTTCTCTTTCATTGAAAAAAAACTCAGGTACATTAGTAGTACTTTGGCTTAGACATGCGTGATATGCGTTGATGAAAAAGGGTAAATATACAACTACACAGTATATACAAAATATTGTATACTAGACAATAATAATATGGTGATTTTTGTATCGGTCAAACCGGTAATGAACTCAGAACACGTATGACTGTACATAGACAACAAACTAGAACTGATTCTTTACGAAATCTTCATGTTTACAAACATATTCATGAATGTGCTGGAGATAAATTTAATGTATTACCTTTGTATCAACTATTTTCATCAGACACTATTTTAAGAGAAACGAAAGAAGACCAACTGATAAAAATATTAAAACTGAGTCTCAACAGGCCACAACAAAATTTTACGCCAAACTTTCCACCAATCTTGTGTACTTCGTGACGTCACGTTACTATTGTAGTGTGATGACATGTAATTGTGACGTCACGACGTTGTTCTTTTGAATAAACCTGAAGAGCCATGTGAAGGGTGAAAGCAGCTAGATATTTGGTCGGTCGTTAATTTTATTTTTTCTATATTTACTTCCTTCACATGGACATTTAATCACCTTTTATCAAAATATTGTATAAATACAACTACAGTTTATATATAGTCATTTAGTATGCACATATATTAAGTATATACAGTTATAGTTATTTAACTCTGTATTATATATGGCGATGGAAAAATCAACACAGACATTTCCATATATCGCATTTGAATTGTCTTAAATTACGTGTTGCTAATCTCGGTGGCACTGACAGTGAATCTGACTGTCGATAAGGCGGGAATCTTAAATTTTAAATATAACTTGTAAGTTAAAAAATAACATAAGAGGCAGAGAGGCAGTAAATATAAGTATTGAACTGTTTTTGTATTGTATTTATTATCTTTTTGATAGCGCGCATTATGTTGTTTGCTTGCAAAGCTGTGTTATTCAAATAGATCATAAATACCATACAAAAACAGTTCAATGCTTAATTAACTCGCCAACAAACCGCTTGTTCGTGTTTTCCAAATAAGTACAAGGGAAGTATTGACAAGTGTTTGGCATAAATACTGTATACTCAACAGATAGAATATCGATCCTGATATACACGAGTTACTTATCTTTGTAAGTTACACGCTACATATTTTAGATTGTGTTACAATCGCCGATTGATACATTTCATACTTTGTGTATTGACTCTGTGTGGCCACCATCTTGAAATGTTCTCTCTAAACTGGGTTCACGGTCAAGTATAAACAGCGGTTCTACAAATTGGTGACTGTTACTAGTAAGCTTCATTTCCGGCCATCCTCGAAATCTCCGAGATTACGAACTCTTACATTCTGCGCATTTCTGGAAACTGTCATGACAAAATTGAAGGCTATGTAAGAGTTGACTCATTCAAACTTGATTTATCTTTTGAAGTACATGAAAAGAATCGCGCGGTGAAATAACGGTAAATTTAACTGGCTTTGAAGTGGGGTGCCGCTTCTCTGAAATCGTTGAAAGACAGGTTTATGCCTAACGATAGGTAAGTTATTTTATGCCTTAAACAAGTCAAAGCACTACCTTCGTGCCTTCAGTTTTGTCATGATGCAGTGTACATAAGTGAAGGTAACCTCTTGAGTTTCGATAAAGTATGTTCGGCATACAACAAAAGACGCTGTCTTTGATTACTTTGATAACTTTATTTTTTAAATTGAAATATCGATGATTGATACATAATACTCGGACAATTGACCACTTACGTATTTTACAACATAAAACACACTGGCATGATATTTAAAAAAATTTTTTTAGATAATATAGCATAATTGAAAATATATTACTTAATTCATCGTTTGTATTAAAAAAAACACAATATAATTATGGATTCGGAAGAAAAAAGATTAATTGCAAAATCTTTATATTTAATATTTAATCGGTGCAGGGGTTCAGTAGGCTAGTGCTATGATTCATAATTATGACTTTCTGGGTCAACAAATGTTAAAATGAATCATTCCCAGAATATAAACCACCACACACAAAGTACATAAGTGTAACAATATGGAGCCTTTTGAAGTTACTTGGTCAGTTTAGTACATTTCGTCATTATGGTGGCATACGAATTTTAACCGGGGGCTAATTATAGTTAAAAATCGTTTTGAAAACAAGAGTTTAAGCGAATTGATAGAAACAATGTGACTGTTATATACATTACGGACGAAAACATATTTTAAGACGAAAAACATTTAATGTTCCAAGCCAGTGCTAATATATTAATGTCCAAATTATAATTATGTTATTGTTTGAAATGTATGTAACCCAAGGGAGAGGGCTTGTATAGGCATAGCCTGTTGCCCAATTCCCATTGAATCATTTGATTTAATAAATATTTTGAAATGAAAACGGAAACCACTCAAAAAGACGTCTTTAGCTTTTTAATCTCTTCAAGGATAGATATTCTTTAGATTGTTTATCTAAATGAAAAAATAGTTATACTTATTTTGCAAACCGCGTTTTAACACCTTATACCCTTACCAACAATAAGTGTATGTTGCTTTATGAATGGAAGATAACGTTTTCTATGAAAGCTTACTTCCAAATTCCTAATTCATTTTATCCATCGAATCATCATCTTTGCCTTTCTCAAAGGGGTAAAATAACGATCCGGATCAGGGAATTCAATCCAGCTCATGGCCTCCCAGTCATATCCGTCCTCTTGATGATAAACACCGTTCAGATTGGTGAGAGTACATCGATCGTGCCACCAAGCACCATGGCGCTCTTCGGCACAGTCTTTTGAAGTAGGATCACGTCCGTCGTTATCTTTGTCGTACGTAGTGAATCCGAAACCATTACCATAATCCATGCCATCACCTGTGGTAAAATGTGGGTAACAGAATTCACCAGGGAACCAATATTTAAAGTTAATATTTTTTTCAATATTTTGAACCATGTATAGACCTAACAATATTCAATGTTTCCACCGATTTTAACAAAGAAAACTCAAAACCTAAATATTGACATAATTATTACTTGTTTGACACTGACAGCACGTTAATACATAGAACATCACAACATGAGGATAATTAATATGTGTTCCGTGTTATTAGTTGTAAATTGTTATTAACACTAGATACACACACAGAATCACGGAACAATTGTTTTGAAGAAAATGTATTTTTAAACAACACACAGCAGATTAGTAATACCATAACAATTAACTATAACAAAGTGCTTCGACCCTCCTTTGGGAAATCAGAAATATGAACTCAATCTTTCGAAACGGTCCTCATGAATTATCTACAATATTTGAAATATTTTTATAGAATCTCATGTTAACCACTAAACCAATTAGCCAGCTTTATGGAAGAATAAAAAGTGATTCTTTTTACGTTTTTTCCAGTCGGATCTCCTGTAAAATACACAAAGGCAGACTCTCTGAGTTCTTGGTAACATCAGAAGTCATTTAGAACTCTTTAAATGGTTTTAGGATTTTGAATTTCTTATCAAAATCTAAATAAAAATAAAAAAGCAAAAATACAATCCAAGGCATTTTAAAATTTTGATATTTGGCTGTAAAGTAAAGATCAAGATACGAAAAACGTTTCTGAATATTGGATTTTCAAGGATTTTACAGACCTTTACCGTCAAACCTCTATATTCAATACAGTCAGAAATCGACTTACGGGAAACGTTTCCGGAGAATCCCTGTACGAAAATTCTGTAATTCTGAGCTTCGTTGGCCACCTTAAAATTCGAATACTGGGCATATCCCCTTACTCCTTTCCAGGTCTCCAGTTCTACACGTAGGATGCTCGGGGTAGTCGTTAGTGTCTGAATAATGTCATTTCCTTCGGCACAGACAAGGGAATAAGGAGAGAAATTCATTCTTTACTACATATACATATACATCATATATCACTCTATAACCATTCATCATTTTTATAAATGTGCATATACTACTACTGTATTTTTATAAAGTCTGCAATGACTTTCACTCAAGAACTTGAATTTAACAGATCAATCATACACAGATTTTTAAAATGAAAATGTAATCCGCCGATCAAATTATTGTATCAATAAATGTGAACCATTCTCAGAAAAATACCGTAAATGTAAGGAATAGGTTTCCATTATATTTCGGGTATTAGATGACAAATCCAGTTAAGCATGTGTAAATTAAATAGATGGCAAACAATATCACGAGTAATTTAATCATAGATGGTAAACACGTATACAGTAATTACACATGTCAACGCGTATTTAAAAATACACATAATATTACATACATTTACATGCTTCATCACCGTAACCATGGAAACATTTGTTGATGGTATTTAATGAGGAAAAAGAAAGAAATGTTCTTGAAGAAACCTGAAACTGAAAACCTGCCCATGAAATCTAAAGGGTCATTACCTAATTAAATCATAATCATATAATAATGACGGGGACATTTATTTTCTATTTCCATATTAGGTCTTACCGATCCAGAAGTCTCCATTTAGATTTCCAAATCCGTTCTTGTATTCTACCCAGTTGCGATAGAAATCGACATTTCCATGTGTTCGACTATGTATCACCTGGTAAATATCATGACAAGAAAAAACACTGTTAAAATAGGCAATGATTATAAAACTAAAACACAAAATGAGCGAGGTTATTGGTTCATGAGATAGCTTTTACAAAAGTTACTTTTTATTTACGGGAACGTATGAAGTGTTCTATATCAACAGCTGAAGCTTTTTTTACAGAGACGTCTGCATTGTTTTACAAACATGTCTGAAGTTTTTGTTTCACAGAGACGCCTGCTGTGTTTTACAAAGATGTCTGAAGTTTCTTTTAAAGAGACGCCAGGAGAGCTTCACCGATATGTCAGCAGTGTTTGTTTTATTGAGACGCCTGCTGTATCACAGAGACGTCGGTAGAGTTTTACAAAAGCGACTTAAGATGTTTTACAGAAACGACAGCAGTGTTTAACAAAGATATGGTTTACCGTGGGGTAATAATGATTTTTGAGGGGCGTTAGCAGGGACGTATATGTGGTTGTACGGGACGCATAGAATATATCTATTGCCCATGACTTAATGGAATCTTAATTGCAATATATATTATTATTTCTTCTCCCTCCTTTGTGCAAGATAAACGTTTCTCATGTGGAACAACTCAATTACACATAGGTGCACCCGATAACCCCAAGATAGAATCTATATTTTAGAACCTGACAAGGGAGTGCTTCAACAAAAATATGTGTTCAAAATGTTCGCCATAGGTTCTGAAACGCGAGTTCATTTTAGCGTGATAAAGGAAGCCATTTTACTGTATTTTGATCGGCGGATAAATATGTACATATTCATGACAATTAACATAACGTCATGAACAAAAAGTAATTATTAAACAAAATTTCTGTGAATCCTCTTGTATGCTCTTTTAACTTTGAGGTACAGCATACTTTCTTCGTTCTGTACAAACATATTCCCTGTTGATTTGTACATAATCCAGCAAATGCACTTTATTCACCATTGTATTTGAACAGTGTAACTGCCGATTTTTACTAATTATTTGATGAGAGCTGAGATAAAATGTCATTTTGACTACCTTAGGTGCCACAATAGGATGACAATTCGGCAAAGTTCTACTCTGATCCATATTCTACTAACTCCTAGTAGAAGTTTCATCTACATTTTACAGAAATATAATTCATTGTTACCTCTAGTCGCATAAAGGTTTAATTTACTTACGAAATGCGATATCTGCTGGAAAATTGAGCTTACATATATGATGAAATGGCATGATGACCTTATATTTTGTATGTATTCATTCAAACTCCAAAGTGCCAACAGCTCAATGTGTCGTTATACTTACAGCCCAGGGCCCTTCTGCAGCGTCCATGTCACAGAACAAATTCATGCTGCTTCCGTCTTTATACTTTATCTGGTATTCACCTGAGGGAGAGCCTTGTGGGACGCCTTTGCAGATGTTGGGTCCTAGAAAATTGGAATATATTTAGCAGGTCGTCAAATCTTTGACATGTGTCAACATTTTTGTCGTCATGATGGCTTCAATGGAAGTAAACTAAATATTACTGATAGCATACAGGATTAAGTACGTCAACGGTAAGTTTCAGGGGAAATGTCGTTTGGATATTTTTCACTATGTGACCCCTTCTGATTTATATTTGCATTGCCTCTGCAAGGTTTTCTTTAAGCATTACCATAAGAAATTGTGTTCATGAGGCTATGGACACAATTGGATCAGTGCCATTTTGAATTTTCTCCTCTCGCCTCAACTAGCATGAGATAACCGTTAGAAGCATGTTTGAGGTGACGCTAGGCTGTTCCAGGAATATCGTTTCCTCTATTGACGACACAGACACTTAAATATATCGAAAATATAGGGGAATATCTTTATCAAGGTCTGTAACAACAGAAGATATTCAAAATAATGAGAATTGTATTCCTAGTAACTTTTTATATAAAGGTATATTAGAAACCAAAGCTTTAGAAACCGGGAAAATGTGAATAATTCGAAGGCTGCATGGTATCAGAATGGGGGAGAGAATATATTTCGCTTGTAATCATGATTAATAATAATTTATCACGTTAGTGGTAAACGACAATGATAGCCATATAAAGGAGTTTGAATTGAATCGTTCTGCAAACTGGTCTAAACGTATACGTATTCATTTTTTACTAGAATTATCATAAATCATCGAAAAAGAAAGACTTTTTTTCTAATTATTCTAAAAAGTATGCATTTATATATTGTTACTTTAGAATAGAAAAAAAACACAAACCTGTCACTAATAATATTGCCGAATAGGGCACGAGTAATAAAATTAGCTTCTTCGTCTTTTTTTGTTTCTATATGTGTTTGGTATGTTTTTGTTTTACTTCGTATTAAAAGCCATGGTCATTTAAGGACGTGCCAGTTTTTGGTTGTGGAGGAAAGTTGCCGGAGTACCCCACGTAAGCCTCGAACCCGCGACCCAGTAGTGGAGTAGGGATAGTGATGATATACAGTCAGATGCCTACAGAGCCGTATATAGATACACATACACACACGCATATACATGCATACATTGTAATCTGCATTATATTGATATCCTCAGTAATATTTTTTTTAACACTTTAGCGTTCCCCTGACAACGTGTAAACTTAAATATGTGAAGTCACATTCCTCATCTTTGTTGAACTGTTCTTTTCACCTTTCGTTCTCATCACAGTGCTTATTTATTTTTCATAAAATGTCTCTTAATAATTAATAGACATTTCTAGAAAATGTCAAAGTGCCTTCCTTGATAATTAAATATTTATTGTAACTCCTTTTTCAATATTAATAATTTATTTACCTTTTTTATTCATTAAAATTTAACACCCTCTATGTATTGTACAGGAAGTATTTGTTCATTTTCTTATCGATGATCTGATCCAGTTCCCTTTAGCCATGTCAATTATCCTGAGTCGATATCGTATACAAATATGAAGCGCCATCTTTAATAGGCTATTACAGCCGACGGATGGAAATGGAAAATTAAAACGGTTAAAATAAATTTTAAATTTCTATTTGTAACAATGTGAATATACTGGTGTTTAAATAAAGGCTGTGATAAAATGTTTTTAAATTAAATTAATTGTTGCGCTGCGAATATCGTCCTGTTCGTGTATACATGTGCTGTGTACGATCACTGTGCCGTTTACCTGTGTTGTTTTTGTACACGTGAGTATGTTGTCACATGTCACTTGTCTTACCTTGTTACGTCCATATAAGGTAATTGTTCTAAATATAGGTGTTACCTCGTTTTCGTTAGTGGTCAGTCCAGTTGTCTTTGTTACATGTGTTGGCGCGGTTTTTAGTATTCATTCATAGACAGAGCTAAAGGGTGGATGTAATTTATATCCAGAGGTTTGAGTCTTAAAGTCTTTCTCCAGATCTGGTATGTACACATATAGATGTGACAAAGTCTTCTTCTGTAATTGGTTTATGTTAAATTATTATATTAATGAGATTTTTGATAAAGTAGCATTAATTATATTGTGAAATTGTACTTTTTATAAAATTAATAGAATCTTTATCTTACGTACATGTATAATTAATCGATACATAGATAGCTATTTTTAAAGTAATGTATATATGTTTTTATCAACATGATGTAAATTGTGATTTACATGTCTCTTTTACAGAGATGATAGTTTTCGATTGAGAACGCGCGGATACAGATCTCCATTCGTGTAAACCCCCGACCCATAGTTGGGGTAGTTATTTTAATATTGTATGTGATAATGTAAACAAGCGATAATTGATGAGGATAATTGTATTCAATATAATTATGTATAAGTAATTTGTGTAAGTAATTTCAACTATTGATTATGATGAAGTCAGTCATTGTAAAGTTATTCCTATTTTTGAATAACCTATTGTGTGTGAACGGATCAAATATGTATGCACCGAGTGTACATGTTAGGAATTATATATGTGAGCGCTGTGTTTCATTATGTAATCAATTGTATTGTGTCTTTGTAGTGGTTTTTGATTATGTTCCACATATTGTGGGAATAAAATGGTAAACAAGAAACCTGCGTCGACCTTGACTTTTCATTCAACTTTACATATTTATGATTGTTCACAAAACATGAACTACAAATACAAACGGTGATTAAGTCATTGACAATATTTAAGCTCATTTTGCAGAGCTGTCCCAGAAACTCTGGAAAGACCGTTCCAAAACAATTTAAAACTTTAGGTGAAACGTCTTGTTTGGCTTTTAAATTGATTTGTTCTTTAATTGTCGATAGACTTAGTTAGTGTGTATTGAAATGATTGGTATGAGAAAACTTCAGGGAGGAGGGACGTAGAAGATAAAAAATATAAAACTTAGTTGACAGACCAATGTTGATCCTTATTCGTACTATGTTTGCTTATAACTTACAATAGGAAACCGTGTCTTATCTATCCATATAATACGTGCATACGTTTCAGTAAATATCAACGCCATATACAATGAATGATTATGAAAGAAAGAAAGAACAAATTTCTACACCAAGAATGCGAAACGAGTGAAAGATGAGGAGAGGTTTACTACGCAAAGATCCGTGATGAAAGAAAGGTGAACCAAATGCTCCTTATCTTCTTATCCATCAAACTACATTTAAAACAATTCAAACCTCACCAGTTACCATCAATTACTTAGAAAGTACCTCACCAGTTACCATTAGTTACTTAGAAGGTACCTCAACAGTTACCTTCAGTTACTTAGAAGGTACCTCACCAGTTACCTTCAGTTACTTAGAAGGTATCTCACCTGTTACCATCAGTTACTTAGAAGGTATCTCAACAGTTACCATCAATTACTTAGAAGGTACCTCACCAGTTACCACCAGTTACTTAGAAGGTACCTCACAAGTTACCATCAGTTACTTAGAAGGTATCTCAACAGTTACCATCAATTACTTAGAAGGTACCTCACCAGTTACCACCAGTTACTTAGAAGGTACCTCAACAGATACCTTCAGTTACTTAGAAGGTATCTCACCTGTTACCATCAGTTACTTAGAAGGTACCTCACCAGTTACCATCAGTAACTTAGACGGTACCAACAAAAACATCTGCGGATAAATGTGTTCAGAAAGTGTAACGTTTCCTCCAAACAATTAGTTATCATCTTTGATGTCTTCAAACAAACCTATTAACGAGTCCCAAATATGTCTTAGTCACCAGGGAAAAAACTTAGTATATAGTAAACATTGATACCTCATTCTTTGAAAATGCGGTCATCATGATGACCATAGGACCGTTTAGAAAGGATACCCTAGCTAACTAGTCTGTTGGACAAACCTGTTCAAGAATTCCTCACAACAGCTAGTTTGTTTGGGTCTAACTTCCTTGTAACAGCAGCTGGGGTTATATTAAGTTGGTTAGGGAGACACCACCGAAAACTAAAGGGAAGGATAAGATAAGATAAGATAAGATAAGATAAGATAAGATACATATAAGATAAGATACATATAAGATAAGATACGTATAAGATAAGATACATATAAGATAAGATACATATAAGATAAGATCAGATACATATAAGATAAGATATAGATTCCAAGTATTGCAATTGTGGCAGCAGCTGGGGTTATATTAAGTTGGTTAGGGAGACACCACCGAAAACAAAAGGGAAGGATATTATACGATAAGATAAAGATAAGATAAGATACATATAAGATAAGATAAGATACAGATAAGATAATATATAGATTCCAAGTATTGCAATTGTGGCAGCAGCTGGAGTTATATTAAGTTGGTTAGGAAGACACCACCGAAAACTAAAGGGAAGGATAGTATAGGATAAGATACAGATAAGATAAGATAAGATACAGATAAGATAAGATACAGATATCATAAGATAAGATAAAGATAAGATAAAGATAAGATAAGATAAGATAAGATACATATAAGATAAGATAAGATACAGATAAGATAAGATACGATACAGATAAGATAAGATATAGATTCCAAGTATTGCAATTGTGGCAGCAGATCAGTTTTGGTATCTTCGTGTCTCGTAAGCAGAAGATATGGAACAACCCCCACCCCCGATTCTACATAGGTCGGCGATTACGACATAAATAACACACAGCAAGCCCGTGCTTTACCGAAACCTTTAGGGTATCTGATAGTAGCTCGTTCGAAGGTTATCCTTAATATTTGTATGAGTAAAAGATCAAGACACTTACCCTTTGAGAAATATTTAGTTGACACGGACACATCAGCGTTCTGATCCTCGTCAAGCGTTTCGGAGTAAGTGACGCACCTTTTTTCGAGATTTGTATATGAAAACGAGAGGCAACCTTCTTTTTCGCACTGAATTGCACATTCAAAGGAACTTCGCATTCCGGTATTTGAATTGAGTTTATACAAACTGAGGTCCTGTTGGGCTACACGCTGTACTCTGGTAAATTTGTTACGTTTATTTATAGCTGAGGCGTCTACCGAAATTAACACCATTATAAAATATAGGAATTTCATTTTCGTTGTCAGTATATTCCATGTAACGGGTTCAAGTGAAACAGTCATCCCTCTCTTCAGAATTGTCACAATAACATCTTGCAATAACTGTTAGCAGCACGTTGTTATTGCTGACTTCCCATTTTATATATAGTGTTGATCCCTAACACAGATATGTCGCCAATAACTTCTCTGACTGTTGGTTGGGAAGATCGACAAAGGTTGTGATCGACCGGTCCTGCCTCAGCAGTGCGTTAACGTTAGCTCTAATATATACCCGTCGCTATGGTTCGTAAAACCGACAGTCAAATATGACCGAATGACATAAATGATCTTAATTGTTTTTGCAGTCATTTTAAAACCCGCAGTTCCTCCATTAAATACGTATCCAGAAAATGCTTTGATGTTCAAGGTTGTCATCAAGTCGGTCTTGAAACGTTGCGACACGTTTAAAACACACATTGTTTGTGTGGAAAGTGAAACATTTTATCCTTATAACACCTGGAAATTCGAGGATGATGATACATACATAGAAATGTGCTTAAATAAGTTCGACAAGGATGTTAAAATGAATCATATCGGAATTGTACTTTCCTATAGCCATTAGGCATTTTGGTTGCAAGATATGAAAAAACATCGCTAACAATATTTCACAATGTATTAATTGCACTCTAAAGATGCACCCGGTGGCATTGGAGCGCTGACAGGGGGCGTTAAGGGTCATTTCCGGCCTCAACGGGGATTTAGAAATATTAGTTAAATTCATAATCTGGAATAGATAAAAGTACGCAAATTTGAAATTTCAGATTTGTTCGACAACTGGTTTAGGAGATGTGGCATTACAAAGAGAAACATGAATCCGCATTTTCATAATAAAATGTGTGAATATCGTCTGTTGTGCGCTATTTGGTTGAAAAATGACAATTTTGAAGCAAATTAACTAAACACTCTTCAATTTTTGAAAGTCTGCGCATGCACCAAACAAATAGATATTTGACATGCTTAAAAATTGTCATACCAGTGTTCATTTGCAGAAAGGAATGATTTTTTTTGTCACATGCAGATGTTTTCATTTCTGCATGTTTACTGGTCAAAAACTCCATATTTTTTCTACTTATGCATAGCATCGCAATGTTGTTGCTATGATAGGGCATCTTTGAAGGCGCATTGAAAAAACTTTATGCACCAATAAAGATAGCACCAATTTACCAATATGATGAAATTGGTAAATACATTCAAGTTGAACTTTCACTTTTCATTAGACCAAGAGTGACCCATAACGTCCCTTTTACCTGGACGTCATCATAATTTGATCGTGTGTAATTTTAAAGTTTATAAAATGTTGGTGCCCTGTGTAACTAACCTAAATGGCCGTCTCGATTTGAAGTTCTGATATCGTATGTTACAAACCTGGCTGAAACTCACACTACTGTAGTTCATTGGCCGCTACGTAATAAGGGAAACTTTTGCCATATTTTTGCTTTATTGCTTTTTCATTACTACTTTGCTGCATTTTTTTTTTCAAATTTCTGTGAAATATATGCAATATGTGCCAAGTTTCATCCATTCTTTATCACATCTGGTACATATTCGGAAAATGATCATGTCCCATGTTTAAGCGTCTGCCTATTTAAAATTCTAGAAAAATATAACCGGAATTATTTGGATTTGTTAATAATTATCTTTATTTTACTTTATTATGTTACTTTTATTAATTTAAAAAAATATTGCACGTTTATATGTTCGTCTCAAAGCGGTTCACAAATTATTAACCATGGTTATAGGGTCTTTGCAACCAGCCAATATCTTTCTCAACTCCCTGGAAAGCATACAGCCGGTGCTGCCATTTCGCCGCTCACAGCTAGCATTCAACAATTCAAGCACTGCCCATCCACGTACTCATTGACAACTGAGTAGACTGGAACAAGCGGAGTAAAGTACATTGTATCTTGTTCAAGGATGCAACACGGTGCTGTGACGTGACTCGAACCCGCAATCCTTCGGTCAAGAGCCCGATTAAACATTATTGATTCGAAAGTAGATTTATAAAGTTTTAGACAAGTACAATGTGTATTTACAATGCTTTGTAGTCACGATGAGGCTAGCGAATGATTTAATGGTATCGTTTTTGTGTTGTGGATATTATTTTGTGCTTGTTATTACTAGTAAGGCCGAGGCCTGCTGTTATAAAATTTACTCAAATTTGACATCAACGTCATGTTTTTAATGCACAGGGACTATATACTTAGCGACCTCGGGTGACCGCCTCTTTTGGCTTATACACTCTTGCGTCGTACAATAGGGAAGCCAGTTGTATGCGAGAGCCGACGAACCGTGACTACGGTTGATCTAAAAATAAATATTTTAACAGTTATGTCTATTTATGAACTTTGTCCCAGGCTGTCCAAAGATTGGGTAAGCAAGTTCAGGTACCTTAACTTTTAGCAAAAACATCCGCTCCGTTCTGCTCAAAGTTTCACGAACATTTTGTACGGAGCAAGGTTTGAGAATTAAACTAAAGGCTTTTAGTCAACTATGAACCCTTCCACAGCGATGTGATAGATTAATGTATATGTATTAACCGAAACATCACCAACAGAAAGGATACCTGCCAACTCTGGTCTTCTGGTGGCTATCATCGATGGTTTTTATTTTATTTTCATATTTTGCAGAAATATACCTTGGGGTAATGCCATAATGATATGCGTGAAGTGAAGGTCAGCTTGGAGACCTTCCCGACATATGACGGGGTAAAGTTTGAATCTTTTATCATATTTTCGATGTATTGTTTAAAACTGCAGCTTCACATACTTAAACAGACCGGGGAAAAACTGGTACATCGTTACAAATTAGTCACGGTGACTTTGATCGGCTTTACACATATAAAACCGCAAGGTATTGCGGCAAATGTGGGTCTCCCTGTGAATTGGTAGTAGGGTTCCTTGTATTAGGGGACATTGCACAATATTAATTTGGTATACAACCCCTCCTTTCAACATTTGGGACTTCTTTCTATTATCCTCTCTCTGTTATAATGTGTGTGTCTTTATGCACTCGCCTTCATAAGACTTGTAATGATATATGTATACAATGTAGATATGTAAGGAGGCACGGTAGTCTAATGGTAGGACGCCTAGCTCGTGACCGAAGGGTTGCGGGTTCGAGACACGGCACGGCACTGTGTTGTATCTTTGAACAAGATACTTTACTCGCTTGTTCCAGACTACTCAGCTGCAAATGAGTACGTAGTTGGGCAGTGCTAGAATTGTTGGATGCCAGCTGTGAGCGCCGAAATGGCAGCGCCGGCTGTATGCTCCACTGGGAGCTTAGAAAGATATTGGCTGGTTGCAAAGGCCCTATAACCATGGATAATCATTTGTAAACCGCTTTGAGACGACCTACGAACTAGATTGTGATACAGCGGTATATAAGAACCTCGAATTATAATTATTATTATTATTAAGAAGGTGAGATAATGTAGTGGTTGGAGCTGTGGATATCTCTAGGTTATGCTATTAAGGCCGTAGGCCGTGAGTTCGAGGCCAGTACAGGGCACGCGCCATATATATAATCCCAACGGGAATGATCAGCAAATAAGTGTTTCCGAATAAGGAACGGTCCATTTCTATTTAAAATCATAATCAATATTCATGATGACGGTAAGTGTTTCTCAAACAGCACAGATGCAAGTTTAGCTTTTAGTATATACTGTTTTTCCCCAGATGAATGGCAAAAAAAGCAATAAATCAGTAAGCGTGTTTGAAATTCAGAAACGTTTCCCTGACATTTCAGAAAGTTATTTTAAGGTCAAATGTTCACTAGAATTTATTGTATTGAAGACACATCATAGCATCACTAATTACGGCATCCATGGCCCTTACTCTAACTGATTTAAGATATCATTCTTGTAAGAAATATATTTATTTCAGGAGCGAGCGGTCTCCAAGATTGTTTCTTGAAGAAATAATGCTAATGTTAATAAGCTAAATGCACGATGCATTTGATTACACCTATTTGGAAAATAAGAATATAGGACAATTATTTTTTAAGATCAGCAAAAAAACTTTCGAAAGCTTTTGACTCAATTTTGAAAAATAGCGATTCGAAAGGAAATACACAAGAATAAAGACAAACGGTTTTATCTCAGACTATTTCAAAATACACGCATCATAAACTTCCGGATCAAATCGAAACAGAAGTTAATATGTTTGCTGGCCAAAATATTTCAACAAAAAAACATCAATAATGAAATCAATCAAACTATTCTAAACATATGAAAAGATTAACAAAATAATTGTATCTAACTTGGAATGACAATAAATTGGACACGATATCTTTCAACTTTGTGCTCATCATGTGCACGTAATAGATGATGACGCATTATGCTAAGAAAATGAAAAAATAGCATTGTTCAAGAATGAAAAATAAACATTTTTTCCCCTATTCAGAAAATATGCTATTAACAAAGGAAGGTTATAGAATAGAAGCTCGCCTCATACCTGATACATATTAGGTAAAAGAATTAACAAAGAAAGGTTATAGAATAGAAGCTCGCCTCTTACCTGATACATATTAGGTGAAAAAATTAACAAAGGAAGGTTAAAGAATAGAAGCTCGCCTCTTACCTGATACATATTAGGTAAAAGAACTAACAAAGGAAGGTTATAGAATAGAAGCTCGCCTCCTACCTGATACATATTAGGTAAAAGAATTAACAAAGAAAGGTTATAGAATAGAAGCTCGCCTCTTACCTGGTATATATTAGGTGAAAAAATTAACAAAGGAAGGTTAAAGAATAGAAGCTCGCCTCTTACCTGATACATATTAGGTAAAAGAACTAACAAAGGAAGGTTATAGAATAGAAGCTCGCCTCTTACCTGATATATATTAGGTGAAAAAATTAACAAAGGAAGGTTATAGAATAGAAGCTCGCCTCTTACCTGATACATATTAGGTAAAAGAATTAACAAAGAAAGGTTATAGAATAGAAGCTCGCCTCTTACCTGATACATATTAGGTAAAAGAACTAACAAAGGAAGGTTATAGAATAGAAGCTCGCCTCTTACCTGATATATATTAGGTAAAAGAATTAACAAAGAAAGGTTATAGAATAGAAGCTCGCCTC